AGGATAGAACGATCTTACTCACCGGTGTATCGGTACCTAAAATCACGGTGTCAGCGAACCACTCAACGGCAGTAAAATACACTTTGAATACTAGATTTAGTAGTAGAAGAAGTCCAAAAAAAATTCTGTTTTAAAATGAGAGGAAATCCCTCAATTTATAGAAAACAAAGGGTAGTGTGAAAAAGTTCTTATTGTGCCTTACCGGAAAGGTCACAAACCTTTGGAAAAGTCACAATCTTTCGAAAAGGTTACCACCTTTCATAAAAGTCACAACTTTTCATAAAAGTCGCAACTTTTCATAAAAGTCACAACTCTTCATAAAAGTCGCAACTTTTCATCAAAGTCACAACTCTTCATAAAAGTCGCAACTCTTCATTTTCCATACCTTTTAAAACCCAACAACTTACTCTTAAGCCAATGATACATAGTGATGAATGATGATCAGGAAAATCTAATTTTTCTTGACAATTACATTGTTAAGTGCCCCACATTAGTTGAGGGAAGAGTTGTGTGTCGTGTCTTGGATATTCCTCATCTCATGAGCTAGCTAGCTTCTAGGATGAGCAGGACCAGGCTCTAAGGTAAGGCAAGTGAAGTCCTTGCCTTAGGCACCAAATATTGAAGGCCCCAAAAATATGGAAGTACTATATTATTATATATAACATATAATTTGCATAGTTATTAATAAAAAAAGATATCAAATTTGAACATTTTCTAAAATTTGGTAAAGATTGTATAGTCGAATGAGTAACATCATATATCTTATGTGTAAAAATAATTGTAAACTCTCTTGTTGAAGGGATAAGAGCTTAGCTTACTTTCGAGATACAAGAGTAGCAGCCTTCTGTTCCCTGGTTAGATTGAACTACAGAAATTAGCATATTTAAACTGAGAGAGATCCATGGAGAATTAATATATTTAGAGAGAGAAAAGATGAACTCACAGATTAACCATTCAAAAAAACCTACAAAGACATACAATTTAAGTTGTAGTGAATCCTTTGTTTTGCTAACGAATATTAATTGAATAAGTAAACAGACATGTCGTCCTTACTTAATCGAATCCTGATTTCCCGATTCAGATGATAAATTAGCTAAAATCCATAGATGAATGCCTAATGAAGATCAGAAAGGGAAATGTTGTTGTCATTTTTAATATTAGGCCAAGAGGTCATGGCAATATATTCCACTCTGCATCCATCGCTGACTTCAGATGCACTCATTTCTCCAATCTTTAAATAAGTGTTTCTGCTTAATTTGCAGCCACTAATTTCCACAAATGTCGAGTTATTAACAGCAAATGACAGTTGAATATGAAGATAGGCTCTGCTACTCTTTTAGTACTACTCTGTGATCCATTATTAGTGTAATTATCATATGGATGAAAACGCAAACTATTCATGTATTGTTGAAGGCTGGTAAGCTGAGGTAATAGAGAGCATAAATCTTGTGTTTGTAAAGTTAGATCTACGACGTGAATTGTGTGATTAACATAGTTGATGGCTTGAACGTGCAACTTCTTGGAGAATAACCATATAACCGTTTGGTTACCTTCACAAGCTAATTCATATTCTGGAAATCTCATTGCACCGGTATTTGAGCCAAAAAGGTATTGATATTTTGGATCGGTATTTAAACGAAAAGGTTATCTTATGTCAGGGATATTTCCACAAGCAGAACGGACATAGTAGTGAAATTCGATCTTCCTAGCATAGCATGTTTCAGAAATCTTCAGAAAGATGATCAAGATTATTGTTATACATTTTAGAAGAGAGGTTCCTCTAGACATATCAAAGAGGTTAACTGCTGATTAAAAGGATGAGCTTTCTTATGTCCTGTTCTCTATCAATCATCTATTTAGGTCTTGATTTTTCTTCTTCCCATAATTTCAAATTACTACTAGAGCTGTCAATATGGACTGGCCCACCCCATCCGGGTTAACCCATACATGCTTTGAAATTTGACGGGTCAGGTCGGGCTAACCCATACATACTTTGAAATTTGACGGGTCAGGTCGGGCTAACCCATTTTTTGTGTGGGCCAGAAAATGGTCGGCCCTGCCCACAAGTATGTGGGCTACGGGATTTGCCGGGCCAACCATCTTTTCGTAAAAGTATATTTTTTATAATTTTTTAAATTAAATTATAATTTAAAAATATTATTATAAATATTGACAAGACGATATTACATGGTGTTAGTGTTACTATTTGTTAATAAAATTATCTTTATAATAATTATTAAGTTTGATTTCAAGTAAAAGCATAAATAGCTAAATAGAAATATTAACCTAATTGTTTTCCAATGATCATAATAAAACACAAAAACTATGACCATATTCTATAGACTATGGCCTATGTAGTGATTCCCTAGAATTTTTAGGGAATTTTTATTTTATGTAGTATATATTTTATAAACATAATTTGTATTTAAATTGTAATATTTCAAACTTTAAATAGATTTTTGAGTTTTAGACTCTTATTATTTTTAATACTCTATTTTATTTTATTTTTTAATTAATTTTTATTTTCCCCACGGGCCGGCCCTATCCATATTTTTCAAACCCCACAAATTGGCAGACTTATTCAGGCTAGGCTAAAAAACCATTTTCTTAAATGGGCTCCAAAAATCTTAGCTCAGCCCTATAAAATCACGGGTTAAACCAGACCGGCCCAACGGGCCTAGCCCATATTGACAGCTCTAATTACTACTAGCAAACAAGGTAGACTGATCTAGTCCACATATACCATGTGCTGATTTTGGACTATGCCCAAAATGACTTGACAATGAATATCTATCCACTCCAACTACCCTCTATTTAAGACTGGATTAATTAGGTGAGTTATAATTGGCCTGAATTTGACCTAGTCATGAATTTTCCAAGTACATGAAGTAGGGGGCGGCAAACGGGCGGGTCGAGTCAGATATGAATCGGTAAAAAATAAGTCAGGTGAAAATGAATAAAATATTCGACTCGACCCATATTTAATATGGATAAAAGGGTAAACCCAATTGAGAGTCAGGGTCGAAAGTTGGATCCCTGTCTGGACTCATTTCGGGTGGTGAGGTTTAATGAAAGTTTGAAAAATATTTTCCTGATTTAAGGAAAGTTGCGATTCTTTTCCGTTACTTTACATATGAAAGTCTGTTTGAAAAATATTTTCAAAACATTTAGGTCAATCAAATATGATAAAATTGAAAAATATTTAATAAAGTCTTTTTTAAATACCAAACAAATACACCTTTAATAAGTGCACTTTTTAGTAATTCCAACCCCTTACAAATTTTAAGGAGAGTGCAATTGGTAGATACCCATACGTTACTCATATTTTATGATGAATAGTATGAGATGATCCATATTTAACCCAATTTTAAATGATGGGATAGCCAATCCATTTTTAAAATGGGTTAATCGAACGAATAACTATAAATTTGAACCATTTTGCCACCCCTAACAGCAAGGTATGTGGAAAAGTCTGCTCCACAAATTGAATAGTTTCAAAGAAAAGATATTGATGAAAAGTCAGTCTTGAGAGTTGGAGAATGTTGCCAACACATATCGTACTAGACTACTAGTTATTAGCATATCAAACCAAAGAATGCAAGTAAGAGTTTTAGAAATGTCCATCTTACTTTTCTTGGTATTTTTCCCATTGTTTAGTTTAGGACACAGACAAGAGGGTTGTGAGGATTCTTGGTGCAAGAGTCATGGTCCCATCGTTCATTTCCCATTCAGACTCAGTCATCAACCAAAACATTGTGGCTATGATCCTGGATTTGAACTACATTGCAACAATAAAAAAGACACCATCCTTGAGCTTCCTTCGTCTGTTCACTTAGTTGTTGAAAAGATTGATTATGTCTCACAGCAAATTCACCTTTATGTCGAGTGCATAGCAGCCAAGCTACCAAAACTGAATTTGTCACAATCTAATTTCACAAATGATGACGATCCCACAGACCTATTTAATTGTTCTGCACCATTCTCAGACAATAATTATGATTATTACTTGGTTCCATGTCTTGGTTCTCCTGGTTACCAAGTACATGCTGTTGCTTTGACTTCAAGACTTCAATACTTCTTGTCTGGGCCTTGCACAAAAATTCATCAGTACCCATACTCAGATTCAACATTTGGTGAGAACATGCTGCAGCTGAATTGGTCTGTACCACTCTGTGGAAACTGTGAGTCCAAATGAATGGATTGTGGTTTCAAGGATGGAACAAAGCTATTGGAAACTCATTGTTTCAATCGAACTATAACCCAAAAAGGTACTATTTGTATGTCTTAAAAATTTTTATTTATTTTTTCCATCAGTGATAAAAAAAAAAAAGCACTTAACAGACACTTTAATTTTGTCCATAAATAGGTATTAAATTCAAGCAGCCCTTGATTGCAGGTTAGTTTTATTAAGTTCTCACTCCATCAGTTCCCTACTTGATTTTCCTTTATGCTTATGACATTAATTACTACAAGATGTTTATATACTTGAAAAAAATTTGAATTTCAGAATAGAAAATATACGTGTATTACTTAGTATTAAATATTTGTAAATGATTTAAATACAGTTACAATATATATAAATAGTTATTCATAAAATTAAGTAATCAAAAGAGAAGGAGTGTAACACCAAATTAAAGCCTAACATCAAATGGACAATCTAACAATCATATTAAATAGTATTAAGAAATTGTAAATTTCACATGAGTTATTAGTTGTGAAAATCTCAAATAATGTTTGAAGAGAATATATTAAAATCTATCAATATCCATTACATTATTATAGCATCACAATAAATTATACAACTTGAGATGTACATTATGTTCATCCCACAAATATTCAAAAATAAGATGAAATATAGTAGACTAAACAATAAAATAGCTAATGAATTCTAAAACTTTTAAATAACAAAAATTAAAGAGAGATCCAGTTCCAGTTTAAGAGAATGGAGGAACTTCCTCAATAACTAACAAAAGCATAAATATATTTACCTCTTTTTTATTGCCTATGTGATGAGCAATTACATCCATCATTAATCATTCATCAACAATTATACATTAGAATAACTAAGTTGATGAGCAATGTAATTACATCCACCAATAATCATCCATCAACAATTATACATTGGAATAACTAAGTGTATGCATTAATATAAAGTGATTTTGAAAACAATTTTTTTGGTATGGTATAATTATATTTATAAGTTTGGAATTATAAAAGTCATTTAAAAATTGATGATATACATAGCATTTATGAGAATTAGAATGGTTAAAGTTGGGATATGTAAAGTTTCTGACTAAAATCTAAATATATGTGTCATATTAAGATGTATGGTAATTCAAAGGACATTTTGTTCTTTAATGTTAAAGGATATAATTTACTTCCTTTTGTTGTTACGAAACACTTCATCTACCAAACTCCATTTTAAAATAAAATTATTAGGTGAATTAATTCTATCTAGAAATATAATGGATTAATACCATATAATTATTATTTAATATTTTATTAATTAGTTTTTTAATAATATTTAAATTTGGTGAAGGGGGTAAAATCGTAATCCAACTTTGAAGTTAAGATCTTCCCACTTATAATAATACTAGTTTTTTTGACACGTGCGTTGCACGTGATTACCAATTCAGAAAATATATGTTATAGTAAATAGTATTATTTATTTAAGTGAAGATTTGAATAATAAGCTTTACACAAAATAATATTGCAGATTTTTTTGTAAATGTTCAATGTGGAACGTCATATATATCTCTTATTCATGCGAATCTATGAGGATGGTCAATAAAAAAATTTGTTAGTTAAATGTAATAATGCATATATTTATTTCAATTTGATGAGGTTCAATCATGTAATTAGTCGTATCTCAGCAATATTACCGTATAGACAATATTTGTTGTGTATTTTTCTAGTCATCTAACAAGATGTGCTTTCAATGTGTATTCCACGTTAAACTGTGTCATATGAACATGTGAAGAGAACAACTACATTTATTTTTTAGAACTAATCTTTGTATATTAATTTTTGTTTTATAAGTTATAACATAATAGATGACGTTCTTGTTGTTGGCTCTCATATTTGACTTCTCGATTGACTGTATACATAAATCAAAGATAGTTATTTGACTGTCCATAGTTAACTCAGAAATGTTTCCTTTTTTTACTGGAAAAACTAAAAATTAGAATTAAAGAATATATTATATCTGTGAAATCATATATATAATCACATGTTTATCTTACACCCAACAAAGATGTAGTTCATATACTTGTAAACGATTCTCAATTTATTCAATCAAGCATGATTCATCCAAGGAAAAATAACAATATCGTGTTATTACATATATAGGAGCGGTGTAATAATATGAAAAATTATTGGTCAAAAGTTAATCAAGAAAAGATGAAAGATAGAAATAATTAATGTAATAACTATGAGAATTCATAATATTATAACTAAATAATGTTAAAGAGTGTGAATAATGTTTGCAATAATTAGTAATAACTAAGAGAATTTATAATGTTATAACTAAAGGATTAATGTGCAATAGATGTATTTCTAATAAATTTTGTACTTACATAAATAAATAGGAGTTTTAATTAATGTTACTATTTTTCTTATAGTTATTACATTTTAATTTAGTGTAGGACAAAATGAAAACGTTTATTCCATATTACTGAATATAAAATTTATTTTTGTAATTGATAAATTTTTAAATGATTCATATATATTCACATATTTTCACTCTTGAGATGTTTAATAATTTTGGAAAAAGATGTTCAGAGGCATATATTTACATCACAAGAGAAATTGTTAACAAAAACAAATAAATTTAGACTACATCATGTTAACTTCATATATTGGAACATTACATACTAATGTATATATTAAGCAAAAAAATAATTAGTATATCATCAAAATTATTTCCCTCAAGTAATCGAGGTTATGACATGTACTCTCTTAGGATAGAACGATTTACTTCATCAGAATAGTGGTACCTCATATTCCGCTAAAACTTCGAACTCACTCAATGATAATAAATCACATGAAATTTTTTAAAATGCAAGAAGAAGAGTAGGAGATTAAAAAAAATTGTGGTTGAAAAATGAGAGGAAAACCCTCTATTTATAGTAAACAAAGGATAGTATGAACAATTGTTTTTTGTGTCTTATCTGAAAAGTCACAACCCTTTGGAATAGTCACAACATATTGAAAAAGTCACAACTCTTTGGAAAAGTCACAACTCACCGAAAAATCACAACTTATCGAAAGTCACAACTCATCGAAAAAGTCACAACTCATCGAAAAAGTGACCTTTCCGAGAAGTCAGAACCCTTTGAAAAAGTCAAGACTTATTGGAAAAGTCACAACTCTTTGGAAAAGTCACAACTCATCGAAAAATCACAACCCTTTGAAAAAGTCACAACTCATCGAAAAAGTCACAACCTAAGTTAGGGATATTATAGTAATTTAACATTCAAGTTAGGTGTTCATGCTTTTAAGGTAATATATATAATGGAATTAATATTACTAAATTGAAGCTTTTTAGTAAAATGATTATAATTGAAAGAACATAGAAAAGTGATTTTAAATAATTATAAGAAAAATAGTAATTATTATATCATCAAAATAATTTTCCTCACTTACTTAAGGTTATGGAATATATCCTCTTAGGATAGAACAACTTACTTCATCAAAATAGTGGTACCTCATATTCCGCTAAACTTCGAACTCACTCAATGACAATAAATCACACAATTTTTTTTTTTAAATGTAAGAAGAAGAGTAGAGCATTAAAAAAAATTGTGGTTGAAAAATGAGAGGAAGCCCCTCTATTTATAGTTAACAAAGGGTAGTATGAACAAATGTTTTTTGAGTCTTATCTGAAAAGTCATGACATTTCCAATAAGTCACAACCCTTTGGAAAAGTCACAACTTATTGAAAAAGTCACAACACTTTGGAAAAGCCACAACTCATCGAAAAATCGCAACCTTTGAAAAAAGTCACAACTTGTCAGAAAAGTCACAACTCATCGTAAAAGTCACAACCTAAGTTAGGGATATTATAATAATATAACATTCAAGTTAAGAGTTCATGCTTTGAAGGTAATATATATATGATATATGATAGATATATGATGATGATTTATTCAATTGTTGTAGGTATAGTTTTAGGTACAACGCTGGTTTGCATTATTGTCTTCTCGCTTTATAAGCTATATTTGACAAGTAGAAATGAAAGAGAGAGTCGAGTTAGACTTGAAAAGTTTTTGGAAGACTACAAGGCCATCAGACCAACACGATATACTTATGCTGATATTAAGAAGATAACAGATGATTTTAATGAAAAGTTAGGAGAAGGGAGTTATGGAACAATATACAAAGGCAGACTTTCCAGTGAAATCTTTGTTGCAGTAAAAGTCCTACACGATTCCAAGGGTAAAGGGGAAGAATTTATCAATGAAATCGGTACAATTGGGAGAATCCACCATGTTAACGTGGTCCGCTTAGTTGGTTTTTGTGCTGATGGATTCAGACGAGCTCTAATCTACGAATACCTACCAAATGATTCACTTGAAAGGTTTATTTTACCAGTAAACTCAAGCACAGGTAGTGTCTCACTCATCAGCTGGAACAAGCTTCAACATATTGCTCTGGGTACTGCAAGAGGGATTGAGTATCTTCACCAGGGATGTGATCAGCAAATCCTACATTTCGATATCAAACCACAAAACATCCTTTTAGACCACAACTTGAATCCCAAAATATGTGATTTTGGCCTAGCCAAACTGTGTTCTAAAGAAAAAAGTGTGGTCACTATGACAGCTGCTAGGGGAACCATTGGCTACATTGCACCAGAAGTTTTATCTAGAAACTTTGGTAAAGTTTCTCACAAGTCTGATATTTATAGCTTTGGGATGCTCTTGTTAGAAATGGTTGATGGGAGGATAAAGATGGATTCTAAGACGAACAATCACAGCAAAGTGAATTCTTTGGAATGGATATATAGACATTTAGAGAAAGGGGAAGAATTAAAGATTCGTATAGAGGAAGAAGGAGATAATACAATTGTGAGAAAGTTAGCTATTGTTGGACTTTGGTGCATACAGTGGCATCCAATTGATAGGCCTTCAATAAAAGAAGTTACTCAGATGCTGGAAGGAGATGGCAGCCATCTCAACTTGTCCCCAAATCCTT